CGCCGTTCTTATCGAACGTGTACGACATCCAGTTGCCGTACTCGTCCATAAACTTGTGAATGGCGCCGTCGCTCGTGTCATCGAACGAGGTCGCGAAATGAACATTACTTGAACTGTTAGGATTTTCTGTAGATGGAGGCTTATCCTTTTTCTCGCTACTATTTTGCACTGCGGGGTTGTTGCGCTGCCGAGTTGAACGTTTTATTTTCCTCACTCTGTTTCTGTGGTTTCGGTCCATCAATGGCCTGAGCCTTTGACCTTCCTCGGAGTACTGCACGAGCTCCGCGGGTGGATTTTCGTTGGCACAGCAGGGTATGAAATCCACCCTCGAGTTAAGAAAGGCCGCTAGCAATGGCATCGACGTAGGCAGCAAGGTGTTGGTCGATGTCTGTGCGACTTCCTCGATGGACCGCTTCCTCGTTTTATTGGCACTTTCCCTCTCCCCTCGTATACTTTGGCGATGACTTCGAGATCTATCCTCCCTGCTGGGCGCGGGCATTACCACCGTGTTCGCGTTGGTGGCGGCGAACAAACATTCCAGACCCTGTACGAGTGCCGCTTGTGCCTCAACTGCGTCGAGTAGAATGCGATCTTCGTTCTGACTATCTTCCCTCTCTCTTCTCGAGTCTCGTTTCTTATTTTCTTTTTGAGACGAAGCTCGAGATCGAGCTAAATTCTTAATCTGCTTTGGTATAGCTCCCAAGTTTCTTGGGACGTTTGAGGACGATTCCCCTAGCGCGGCACATTTCTGAGTGTCCCCTTGAACGGCACACGCCGCATCCTCTTTACATGCCAGCGTTGACTCTGGCGTCTCCTCAAAAAGCCAGTCTAAACTATAGACGCTCCTTTCGTCTGCGCTTTTACTGTCACAAGTCAGCTGCGACTCCTCGGTCTCCGGCGCCGGGTTTTTTTCATACTTATTGTCAATTCGAAGTTTGTCTAAATTATTTTCACTACTACTGCTAGAATTAGATATATCGTGGTCCCAAAGTTTCTTCTCCGCGACTTTTTTATCCTCGGGTTTCTTATCTTGTTCGGCATTATCGTTCGATTCTAAACTAGATTTCTCTATTAGCAAGTCTTTAGAACTAGCGCTGGCCTTATCGAAGTAATCGCCGTTCGGATTATATTTACATTCACAGGCGGCTTGTTTATCGGGACGTTTACTCTCGAAGTGTTCGTTTTTAGAAAGCTTTTTCAGTCTTACATGTTTCATTTTATCGTTTGGACATTCTGCGCTATGTTTGGTACTGGAATGTCTATCGCAGCAAGGTTTCTTGCTATCGCCGTGGTGTTTGGAGCGAACTATTCGAACGTCAGTGGCTCGGTCTAGTAAAGGCGATCGTGAACCGTTGTTCTCGTAGTCGGAGTCGCTGGAGCGCGCGGCGGGCGACTGCTCCGCGTCCCAGTCGAATCCACGGAACTGCTTCTCATCTTCGTAATCACTGTAACTGTCGCCACTCGAATCTAGATCGGTCTCCTTCTGCGACGTTTGCATCTCATCGGATATTTCAGCTATCGGGTATACGATTTCCGAACCATACGTTAAATAAGGGTAACTACATCCTTCACCGGATTCATTTTTAGGATACAGATTCAAATGCGGGCCGCGAGTTAAACTTTTACTAGGAGGGGGTATCACAGCATTTTTAGGATTCTTGAGGACTTGACCGCCGATAGTTTCCGCACTGTTAGGATGAGGAGATAGATTGGAAACACTAGGGGGTGGACATCCTATTTCTAAGGCCGCGCTTTTAATTCGTCTTACACCTGGACTTTTGCCTTTACTTTTTTCAGCTTCGCATGCGGGTGGTTCAGCTTTAACCATCATGTACTCTCCGAGTTCAACGCTAGCAAAAAACCCAGTATCAGCATTATTTGAATGCCTTCTCATGTGGGATACCAATTGTGCTGTTGAATTGAGAAGGGGCAACTGTATTGTGGACATTGTAGAATTGGAATTTCGCCTCATATTACTCGGTTGGGTCGCAAGAGCCATAGCAGATTTGCTACAGCTCTCATCGGGGTAATTATTATATCTCCTACGATGTGCAGTACGTTTTTTGGGCGAAGGTGGTCCAACACTCGGTTCTGAATTGTCTCTGGAATCAGAGCTGAGTTGGCGAGCTACATGTTGATTGTATGGATCTCCGTTCTCTCTGGTATCCAAATACAACCACTCTTTGAATAAATCTCTGCTGTTTGAACCACGGCGATGAGGGCATTCGTGATACCTTCGACTGACTTTAGCGAACGTTCCGTCTTCAGACAACACGTGTACTGGGTGATTGTTTACATACATTTGGTTTCTAGAAGCTTCTTCAACTATAAGTTCGTCGATTCTATTTGCGTGCGTTCTCCTTGTTTTGGTCCTGTGTTCTCTTTTATGAGCACATCGGATTCTATTGTTAGGTCGTGCTTTAGATGGTCCCGGGGTTTCGGTTTGTGTGACGCAGAGATCTGATTTAGTCATAGCGACGGCTTCGGGTGGTTTCAATGACATTGCACTATCTTCCATGCTAGATTCTGAACTGTTTTTACGATGAACATCGACTTTTAGGTCTGAAAAGAATGAATAAAATGTTGAAGTGAGAAATATTGTAATACTGGTGTACCTCCTACAAACTTAGCTTTGATATTTTAATTGAACTTTCATACAGTTAAGTTAAAACTGTGTGTAAGCAAATGTTTACTGATCAATTAAACTGTTCAGTTAGAACTGCCCCCGTAGACAAAGTAACATTCGATCCATTACTGATCGAAAAATAAATGTATAAAAACGGCAATAACATTTAATAAGTCATGGGCTTGTAACATATTCAATTCCATACATCCATCCATATATCATATTTTTGGATTCTACAAGCTATATCGCTAATCGAAAGTCACTATGTCTAGGAGTGCTGGGTGTTTGTTGAGGGCCTAACATTATTCATATACATTTGCTATGAAAATTAGTTATATACTTACCTATAGTACTATTATTAGGCTTATGATATTCCAGGGATGTGGCTGACTCATTATCATTCTCTAACGCACTGCCTAAAGCAACCCCAAGTCTCATCATTTCCATACCTTCTTCTTGCCTGTAAAAAAATCAAAAAAATTATTTTGATAATTATCGTTATTCACAATAAAGGTTAATTACAATTAAATTGATGTCTTCTATTAGCATTGTAACAAAAACATTACAGAACAAATAAAAATTTCTATGTTCAATTATGACATTATTTTTAAAAGTAATTTTTACACATTTAGCTATAATTCTCTACAAAGTGTTTATAATAGAAAAGCAGGCCATAAAAAGCCAAACATTGCAGTTTATAAAACCATTTTCAATGACACCATCTGAGTTGGGGAAGGTCATGAAGATGTTCATTCTATGATCAATTTCTACAAACATTGTTTGGGTTTAAAGTAAAAATACTAATCTTAAGTTAATTAATGCAATATTATGTAATAATTAGAAAGTCTTACGTAGATCCAGCATAAGGGTTAGCTGGGTCTCCAGTCGGCTGTACCACAATACATTCCTTTGTATCGTACATGTGATGCAGACCATGGTTTAAAAGCTTGAGACATGTAAACAGTATGGCAACTAGGGCACAGTAGATTATCCAACCAACACTCGCTGGGGGGAAATACTGAAAAATAAAACATTTCGAACACATATGTCTATTAATCTTTGTTGTAAATATACAATGTTTAATTTAAAAGGGCTCCAGAGGTATGTTAATAGAAACCTTACTTTCTTTATAATTCTTAGTAACATAATTTTTTCTATTTGCACATTTAAAAAATGTACAACTGTAAATCAAAGGTATTATTTGATAAACATTAATTTACCAAACTATTGAATAGATAACAAAACAATTAATTTATTTGAAAAATAGTATTATACAACATTGATTTTATAATGAAATATGTTAATAGGCCTATACTTAATAAAAATGGTTTCTTATTTTTTAACTAAATGCTGATTCATTTTATGATTCATAATTGACCGGAAATGGTGTATATCCAAAAGCCTTACATTAAATTAGTATTTTTCCTCAAAAGGATATGTAAACAAACAAATTATGATAAGATATAATGATATAGTTAATGAGGTCTCTATTGTTTTAAACGGTAAGGCTATAAAGAGGCCAATGACCATCCAATGCCATGTTTTGTACTCGACAATTCAACAATAACAACTAAAAAAACGTGACCTGATTTTATTATGACATCATTTTATAACCTATAGCTAAATATTAATACGTATTTTAACACTTACCAGGTAAACAGAAAATGGGAGACATAATAGGAACAGCCAGATATACAAATGAACAGTATTGCAGAACAAATTCTGATGGGGATCATAAAACCAGCCACCTGTCAATGATGCCCAAACACCTTGGCGCAAAATTTCCAGCGTCTGCGAACCCATCGTAAACACTATGTCCACATTTCCGCATTTAAATCACTCGCCACTCACACAACATAGTCTTTATCATTTATTCACATTTCACATCAGCTTATATCAAAATGCAAATTTCTCGTCTTTCCTGCCATTTTGTATGAAAATGCACATACGAAAACAGTCTTTATTGACATCTGTTATTCAGTTATTATACATTTTATATAACGACTTGATAACTTTTAATATTTACACTGTTAAATTATGCAGAAAACTAATATTATAAACTGATAATTTCAAGAATTTCCTTTCCTAAAATATGAAAACGACTTGATCGACGAAACAACACTTTCATTCTTTGAAGTTTTTTTGACAAGTGACGTCTATCATCAACAGACGATATTGCCATTTACTGCAAAACTGAAAATTGCAATATTTGTTCATCTAATCGAATTCTCCTTTGTGAAGGTGATATTGAGTAATTAACCTCTACTTTGTCATGTACTAGTTGACTTACTCAAGTGTTTTGACACGGTAACGAGATGTGTCTTGTTAATAATTATTTTAAAATCTTTGCAAGCATTCAGCAAACATTTGTTTATACACTGTGAGTGTCTTGACATTGACACATTGACATTTATCAATTGTCAAACACAGATGTCAAGCAAGAAGATGTTATTTTTACAATATTGATAAATATAATAGGTAGCATTTTAGATTAGAGATAAGTAACCTTCAGTATTGCGCCAACTTTTGCAGAGATCGTACTCGTACTTTGTCCAATTTGTGTACGACAAGTTAGAAAAAATGAGTGACGTTGAAAGACTGTTGAAGCAAGCTGCTATGCAAATCGGTGCTGGTGGAAGTGCAGGCTTCGTAGAAGTCTGTATAATGCATCCTCTTGATTTAGTAAAAACGAGATTTCAGCTACAATCTACGAGTTCAGCTTTAAAAAGTTCTGATCCACATTACTACAATGGTATCGTGGACTGTATGAAGAAAATGTATAAATATGAAGGATTGACTTCGTTTTGGAAAGGAATCTTGCCGCCTATATTAGCAGAGACACCAAAGCGGGCCGTCAAGTTCGCGACTTTTGAGCAATACAAAAGGTTTTTCATGTTTGGCTCCAGCACACCCACACCTTTAGTGAGATTTATTTCTTTTATATTTATTTTGTGTATTTATATTCTATTAATCCATTTTATTTTATTAACATTCTTATCTATACATAATTACATTTTATTCATATTTTATTTAACTTATTATGATTATTTTATTTCTTTTTATTTTATATCATAACAAACAATACACAAAGCTTATTTTAATACATTTAATTCATTTATATCTTGATAATTTTACTATATTTATAATTTCAGACATTCTCTCTAGCTGGTTTAGGTGCTGGTATTACAGAAGCTATTTTAGTGAATCCTTTTGAAGTTGTAAAAGTTACATTACAATCTAACAAATCTTTGGCTACTCAAGTACCTAGTACATGGTCAGTAACAAGACAGATTGTAAGAGAAAATGGGTTAGGCTCCAAAGGCCTGAATAAAGGTTTGACAGCAACTATGGCAAGGAATGGGATATTCAATATGGTTTATTTCGGTTTCTATCACAGTGTGAAAGGATATGTCC